TGTTACTTTGCAGGGACAGGGACGGATGTTTAAGGAGGATTTCGAAAACTACAATCGCTTACAGAAGACAGAAACAGTTTGGGGAAAAAAAAAAAACAAAGCCAGGAGTGCCGGAAGGAACTGTTGTTGTACCATCCGATAATGACAACGCTGGAAAAGCGAAATACACATCGGATAACGGGCGGCACAGACATGGAGAGTATGGAAGATTGCATGAATCTGTCCTTTTCACGTGCAGACATTCTAGCATCTGTTGTTCGCACTGCTAGGCGACATGTTCCTTTTGTACTAATCCCTGAAGTAGATTCACGTAACTCTCCATATGAAAGGTGGAAAGGCTAAACTCATCAGATCTGTAGCTCGCTATTCAGTTTAGTCGCTCCTTGGCGGAAGAAAGTATATCCAGTGCTTGGAAAGGATCAAAAACTGTTTTGCTACGTAAAAAAAATGATAAGGAATATCAGAAACTGCCATCTGATCTGCTTCCCCTTGCATGTTTACAGAGTGTAACGAGGATAATTACTAGTCGATTAACAGCTGTCCTTGACAAACAACAGCCGAAGGGGCGAGCTGGATTCCGAAGTAATTACAGCACAATGCAACACGTTTTCGCTTAAAACCAACTGCTGGAACGTGCAAGGAGTGGATTTTGTAAACATTCGTCTGCATTGCGTGGAACTGAGTGCTGCACTGCCTGTTTTTATATAGAGAAATTAATGGGTATTGCATAAAAGTCGTTAGGGAAACGGACATAGGTTGCTTAGCATCTGTGATACTTTTTTCCACTCCAGTCCGAATTCTGATAGAGAAAGATTTGAAGCATAGTGATTTCTTATTGTCTGAGCTTTTGCTTGAGGACAGTATTTCGCAGGCTAGGTCTTGGGCTAGTGATCAGTGGCGAGCATGATCCCTCGTGGATAAATGACATGTTACAGGAATTCAAGGCATGATGCAAGAAAAATGGGCCTGAAAATTAAAGTAGTACAAGAGTGCCAGTATGCGTACAACTACTGTGTGGACTTGGAAGAAGTTGACATCTACATCTGATATGGGCAGAAAATAGATATGCGCCACCTCTGCAGCCAGAGATTGCACGCTGAAAGGCTCCCAGTTGGAGTATATTCAATGCCCTCCAGGTGTCGAACTGGAGCAGTCGCGCCTATCACTTCAGCTGCACTGTGCGGAAGACGATGACTTACAAATGCAAAATATGGTCACTGACGAAAATGGATAATTGCAGTGGAGAAATCTAGAGAGTAAGGAATGCTGACGTGTTTCTTCGTGATCAAACAAGCAATTCTGCCGGATGAACGGCGTGCAGAAAATCATTGTGACCACGCAGAAAAGTGAAATCCGATGAGCAGGCATTTT